ACACAGTCCTCTTGCACACATGCACATCTGTGGGTGGGAGTGCACAGGTGCATACACAGTCCTCTTGTACACATGCACATCCGTGGGTGGGAGTGCACAGGTGCACACACAGTCCTTTTGTACACATGCACATCTGTGGGTGGGAGTGCACAGGTGCATACACAGTCCTCTTGTACACATGCACATCCGTGGGTGGGAGTGCACAGGTGCACACACAGTCCTCTTGTACACATGCACATCTGTGGGTGGGAGTGCACAGGTGCATACACAGTCCTCTTGTACACATGCACATCCGTGGGTGGGAGTGCACAGGTGCATACACAGTCCTCTTGTACACATGCACATCCATGGGCGGGAGTGCACAGGTGCACACACAGTCCTCTTGTACACATGCACATCCATGGGCGGGAGTGCACAGGTGCACACACAGTCCTCTTGTACACATGCACATCCATGGGCGGGAGTGCACAGGTGCATACACAGTCCTCTTGCACACATGCACATCCGTGGGTGAGAGTGCACAGGTGCACACACAGTCCTCTTGCACACATGCACATCCGGGGGTGGGAGTGCACAGGTGCACACACAATCCTCTCACTCCACAGTTTCACAGCCACCAATAGCGCCGGCCATCGAGACCCAGCACCACCTATAATTTCCCACTATTTGTCCCTCCTCGACTCTGCTTTCATTCCCACACCTGTTCCTCGTTTATTCTTCCTCCCCTCTGTCTATGGCGCATTCAGCCTTATATCACAAGTGAAAAGGAGCTTTTCCCTTTACATCTGTGAAATGGGCTGAGCCCAGCATGCTGGCAGAGGAATGAAATTCTGTAAAGCCCGTGGTTCTATAATTTTAGGACAGAGGGCTTGGCTGAGGGCAGTCAGGGGAGATCTGGATGACTGCGGTTGTGCCTGTGGTAGCCTGGACCCAGCACGCATGCCTCGCTGTGAATCTGGGCTCTGCTCGTTCCAGGATGCCACCTCTGAGCAGAGAACAGAGACAGTGAGCCTCACACAGAACTACCTGGAGGGGAAAACATGCCCACAGATGCAAACATGCTCTAAGACACATGTGAGCAGCCTTCTAGTTCGTTCCCTCTCGCCCTAACAGCAAAAGCACTACTCTGAAGGCCGCAGAACTGGTCTAGATCCCACCTAGGCCCCAAGAGTGATGTCACACTTTGACTTTGTTTCCCTGCCTGTACAATGGAGCCAGAAGCACTGCGAATCAGTCACATACTAAGTGTGCAGTTGCGATTGAGGCTCTGACTTCAGTCATTTCACATCCATCCTCCGAGTACCGTTGCTGTGCCCAGCGCCAAGCCTCTGAGATAGGACGGAAGCAAACAGATTAGTTCTCCTTTCCTGGAGCCTTCAGCCTGAAGGGAAGGCAGATGCAGCCAGCACAAACCTTGATCCCTCTGATCACAGGCTCGGGAAACGCGCTTTTCCTTATTCTTTTAGACCGTTTCTATTTTGAGGCCATGGTCTTTCAGACTGATGGAATAATCTCAGTCATTTCCTGCAGGGTTGTTTGATTGGAGCAGAGTTCAGGTCATCTCGAGAGCATCACCTCCCCTTCACTGGCTACGTCCTCATGATTCTCCAGGCTTTCATCTCCCCAGGGCCCTTGCTGGTCAGCAGCAGGTCAGATCCTGGCTCCTCATGCCAAGTGCTTTGTGAGCCCCTCCTGGCTGCCAGAGCCTCGCCCACCACTATTCTTTTTCTCTGGCATACTGTAGCCACGAGTGCCTTACAGAGCCCCAAACTGACCTGTGTCTTCCTAGCTTTAAATCATATAGTGATTCTCTAATGTGTATATATATATATATACATATATATATATCATATAAAATAATACATGGCATATTATCATATATATATACATGCACACATACATATATAGCCTTGCTTGCTTCTCTGATTTGTCCCTTACTTTTCTCCTCCCTTCCCACCACCTATGAGCAAATCATTAAAAGCCATGATTAAAACAACACATGTACATGCTTACTCCACGCGAGACACTTGGTTTGTATCAACTCATAGTCTTTGTAGTATCCCCTAATAATTATTACTTTCTCATTTTTAACTTATGGGGAAACTGAGGAGTGGAGAGCGTAAGGTCACACAACAAATTAATGCCTCTCATGAAGGACTAAAGCCTGGAGACTACGGTTTCCAACTGTATCTAACCCTGAAGTTAAGCCCCAGGTGAAGAACTGTGTGATGCCAAAGAAGCCATCTTTCTTTCAAGGCTTGGTGTAAGCATTCTTTTGCCTGGTTACCTTCCTGGCACCTTTCATCTTGCTCACCCATCTTGCTGACCCTTTCCCCAAGACCCTCTCTCACCTGTCCCCCTACCACCCAGCTTTGATTGATTCAAGAGCCTTTTGTGGGTTCTCATGACTCTCTGCAGCTATCACTAGGGCCTTGGCTAGCAAGTGTGGATTTGCTGTCCTGTTGTTCAGGATTCCACTGCAAGAACATTGTATTCATCATAGAATGCCCAGTTTGCAGAGTGAGGGGCTGTCAGATCAACTAATTGTTGGATTTGTCAAGGATGGTCCAACAATAAGTATTTCTTTATTTCTCTTTCTTAAAAATATTTAGTTTTATTAATTAAAATCCTATGTACTTGTGTGTATCTGTGTGAGCATGTTTACATGCACATGAGTGAAGGTACCCATGGAAACTGGAGGCATCAAATACCCCTAGCTTTAGAACTGAAGGCAGGATATGAGCCCCACCTGATGTGGATGCTGGGAATCAAACGTGGGTCCTCTGCAAGAGCAATACCTGCCCTTAATAGTTGAGCTATCTCTCCAGCCCCATCAATGAGCATCTCCTAAGCATTGGCTGTAGGCTCAGTCCTCAGCCAAGCATTTTAGAAGAAATGAGGACAATGAGAATAAAGATTGAACAGAAGGTTGGTCTGACAAAGCTCATCCTGGTCAGCTGGAGGTTGGCATCAGGCAAGAATCTCGGCACCTAACTTTAATTTTAGATCTTCAGCCACTTCCCTTCTCTTCCTCACCTTCTTGCCATCCTGTTTTCCCCAGTCTTGATGATGCATACTTAGAGGAATGGGCATGACAAAATCACGACTATACCAAAGACTGGTGTCATGGCAGCTATTGGTGTCTCGCAGCAAGGTGAAGGCTACCCCTACCTCACTTGACAGATTAGGTATCATCCTTCCATTGAAATGAAAAATCTGGTCAAAGCAAGCGCTCAACGCTTTCAGCCGATAGTCAACTAAGATTCAAATATTAATCCCCAAGTCTTTTCTGCTTCCTGGATCCCTCTGCCCTCTCCATCCATGTGAAGCTTGCCCAGGCATGCTGTTGCCTCTCCATGCTTGCTTTCTCCTGTGTGCCTTCCCATGATACTTCACTTCCTGCTACCTTTCCTTCATGAGGTAGCTCTCTACCCAGAGCCTCCTCCACCCTTCTTTGCCTCATCAAACCTCTGGACAACTTAGCCTAGTCCCTCTTCCAGAAACCATCCTACCAAGTTGTAAATAGAGGAAGAGAGGGAGGGGAAAAATCTAATGACTCTCCTCTTATAAGATTAGTTGGGGTCTGGGGAAAGGGGTTGGGAAGTACAGTGCTTGCCTTGCAAGCACAGGGACCTGGGTTTGATCCCTAGCATGTGTGGAGGTGGAGGGGGGTATAGGAAGAAGGGTGGGTGGGAAGGGTTCTTGTTCAATTCACTCTGACTTCGAGCTAAGTTATAAGTCTGAAATTTACCCTCCCATTGCCCTAGTGTACCTGGGAAGGTGAGGTCTCGATAGCCATAGTCTGTCTGCCTTTGTTTTCCCTCATTCTTTTATTAGGTGCCTAATTGGCAGCCCAATTAATCTGCTCATCTGTGAAGGAGGTGAGCGCCTCCCATTTCCAGAAGCCATTCTCTGAGGCAGCATGGCCCAGCCCTGCGTGCCGGCTGCCTCCTTGATGGAGGGCTGCCCAGGGAGCCAGGGTCAATTAGCGGACAGATTAAGCAATTATTAGCCCCTAACAAGGGCGCCTGGCATCATTACCCTGCCTGTTTATTGGCAAACTGCAACTCTAATATGAGGACCAACAAATAAATTAGGGCATCTGGTCTACTGCCGCGTCAGCCGAGAAGTAAATGATGTCCAACTGGCCCTGGGCTGCCCATGGATTCTCAGCCTGGCATAATGAAAAGCCCGAGATGTCCCTTGCTGGTCACAGCAGCTTTGGAATGAACTCTGAAGTGATTTATCATTCCAAGAGCTAAGTGTCTGCTGCTGGGCACATGAATTGCTCTTAGTTACCCTGCTGTCTTCCTCATGCCTGTCTGTCAAGACCCGTAAGGGTCCCATTCAGAGGCTCCCTCTCATCCAGTGGAAAACAAGTCTCCTCTGCCTTTGGGAGACTCTCCTACCACTTTATGGCATTACACCAATTTTGTGAAATGTTAGAGCAGTATTTTGACTATATGTACAGGTTTCCAGTGAAGAAGCAGATACTTGGAACAGGACTGAGGACCATTTATGTCACCCAACCCCTTTCCTGTGAATAGATGCAGAGCATCATCAGAAGGGTACTAGAGGGGATATTTCAGGAAGGCCTCTGTGGTTATGTGATGAGGGCACCTTCCTGAATTTATTGCTGTTCCCTAAGGACCCCCAAGGCCCAGCTCGAATGCCTGGAAATCCTCTCTGCTCCATCTGCATGAAGTGCTTTATCCCTCTTGTTCCTAGGCCTCAATGCTATGTTCTGAGCTACCTTCTCTTAGAAACAGAGATATATTTGGACAACCCATTGGGAAATACCTCATCATATATCCGTATAGCCATAATTATAGACAGTAGCTGATACCTCATCATATATCTGTATATCCATAATTATAGACAATAGCTAACGACAGAGGCCAACAGTCACTGGCCCTCTTGTCATTTCATACACTAAGAAAAATGTGCCCCATCCTTCTTGAAACGCTTTGAGGCTAATCCAGGCCTGTCTCTCTCCCTAGGGATCATTGACTTCCTTGTAAGTCATCATCCTATTGCCCGTATCCTACGAGAACACTTGGTCTTCAAGATTGCACCAATGCTCAACCCTGATGGAGTCTACCTGGGCAACTACAGGTGAGGGACTGGGGACAAATGTCTAGAAGCAGGAAGTGGCAGGATGGAGGGATGGAAACGAGGCAATTAAGAAATAATTTCTAGCCTAATTATTAGAGGAATTATTAGAGGAAAATTTAAAATCAGAGGACATTTTCCTCCACCTCCCGAGTGCAGCTAATGTCATTGGCCATTTATAGACGACTATCCAAAGTCACTTGCTGGAGTTTTCTGAACAGACTGATAGACTAAGAACCAGAAGAACTAATATTAATTTTAGCACCTGCTACCTCCATAACCCTGAGGGATTCGCTGATGCTCAATTTCTCTTGTATAAGAGACAATTATCCCGCAGCAGGGCAGATGTATCGGCAGGAATGATGGGGAAGAATGAGCTTTGCAGAATCTCAGACAGTGGTTATAACGTTCCCTGATCTGTTGCTGTGTTTCTCCTAGGAGATCCTTAATGAAGGAGAATAGCAGCCCTGATCATGAGGGTAGTACTTCTCTTTGGAGAACATCCCACTCAGCCTCACTCCTGCTCGTAGGCCGTATCTTGAACGTTCTTTCTCCTATCTTAGAACGATCATTTATAGCCTAAAATTCCATTGCCCAGGGGATCATTTGCCAAAAGAACATTGAGTTCTCCAAGAGAGACAGTCTTATTGCCCTTATTACACAGCCGAGGCAACGGACTTGCCCAGAGCACATGGCGGTAGATAATTGACTGCCTAACTTCACTGCCCAAATGACACGACTTTAGATCTGATCAGGCCCGTAACCTTCAAGACAGCAGCCAACCTCCCCAAGCTTTGTATGGAAGACGTTGTGTGCCCGGGTGCCTGTGTCTGCACTGACTTCAGTCTGGCCCAAGTCCTTTCCTTCCAGAAACGCTCCTCTGACTTCTCTAAGCAAAGCCTATTACCCCCCTAGACTTCCTCTCTATAACTGGCCCTCTTTGTAGAACCAGCTCATCTCTTATTCACCGGCTAACTCCTGACAACTCAGCTTATATTTGTGTTCTAGGAATAATTTCCCCCAATCCCCCCAAAAGTGTCAACTGCCTTCTGGGTTATTACAGGCCTGGTTATCATTGGAAAGGGAACAAAAGGCCAATCAATCATGGGAATTCTTTGCTGTAGCTTTGGAGAGTGTTCACGAACCCCACTGAACTTCAGGGCAGCAGAAGACAGGACAGTCTTTGTGTCCTCACTGCCTAGCAGCAGGAATTAGCCAATAACAGATGCTCAGGAAGTGATGGGTGTAAGCCATGAAAGGAATGACCCTAATGATGAAGAAAGAAAATAGGCGAGACTGCCAAGGCCCTTGGCTGAGTTCCGATGTAAGATCTTCCCACAGCCAGGTAGAACCATTTTACACAAGGCTGCTTTAGTCCTCTCTAAAACCATGGAAATTGGGTCCAGAGGGGCTCTCTGGTACCCCTGGGTCTGAGAGAGACCCATGGGATGCATGAAGCCTTCATTAAAGTCAATTTTGCTTCTTCTCCTAATTGACTGGAGTGATGGCTCATTAGCATCTGCAGGTTTTACAGCTTGTTGCAGGCCCAGGAGTAATCCCATTCTCCCTTCCCCAGACAGAATGTGTGGTTAGTGATAACAGCAGCAGAAAGACCGCTTGATTTATGTTCACATTTCTGGTTAATTACGAGAGCCACAGTGGTCAGAGAGAGGTCAGTTCTGCCACCCCACATGCTTGTCTATGCATCAGCTGCTGTCCAGGGAAGGGTTAGCTAGAAACTGGTCCATGACCTTGGTCAGCACGGCTCCTTTCTTTCTGCTTCTGATGGCCAGGGAGTAGGAAGGGGGTTTAGATGCTTTCCATACATCTTCAGGGTCCAGATTTTGTGACTAAGGGCATGTAGCTCCAACATTCAGAAATGGTTTCAAGGTGAAGTTTCAACTCCCAACATTCTCCTAAGTAAGAAAATATGATCTTTTCTCATTACAAGAGCTGCAGAAAGTCTCTAATCACAGCATTAATCCTGATTTTAAAACAGATCAGAACAGCCAAAAGGATCCTATCAATCATGAGCATTCATTTCTACAGGTTTAAAGTATAGGGAAGATATAGGAAAGACAGTAATAGAGACTCAGAATGCATCCGTTCAATGTGCCCTGAAGTCCCCACGACAATTCCTTTCACGTCAGTTCCTCCCACGCTCTCTCTCTGCAGTCATATTTCTTGGGTTTGCCATGGTTATCTAAGGTGTATGGCAGAAAAAATAATTTGGAGTTTAAATAAGTTTGGGCAATTCTGAACTAAGTGAAGTTACTTTTCAGAACGTTGCATATGGTCTTGAACACAAGCAGTCTCGGAAGAGAAATGTGGAGCTCAGTGTTTCTGAAAGGTTGAGAGCCGTGGTCCACACAGCCCAGCACCTGGGTTAGGGTTATGAAACATTTGGGGAAATGCCATCCCAGGAAGTCTGCTTGCTGGCTCAATGGTCTGGCAAGCCATCACATGTATTTCATTTAATCCTCACAACTCTGAAGGGAGGGCTCTGTTAGGGTTTCTTCTGCTTTCAAATATAAAAATCCACTCAAACTAGCTTAGTAGCCGAGGGATGATTTGAGGGAAGGAAAAAGGGAGGCTGGCCCTTCGAACTCTGGGGCAACAAAGCCGGACTTCACAGGATGCTGGTGGGTTCCCAAGACACAGATCAGAACACAGGCATCAGTGTCCCTGTTTCCCTCTCATGCCCTTTCGACTTTTCTTCTCTCAGCAGCTCCCTGTAGAGGTGCAATGCCTGGGAGAAGCTAAAGAATCTACACCAGGGCTACAGCCAGTGGTGGGGCAGGTGTGAATAAAGGCCTGTCCTCCCTGTTGTCTGTCCTGCTGCAGCCAGGGCTGGGCCTGGTGTCTCTGAGTCTATGGCAAGACAGGCCTGCACTGAGGACCTCAGGGGATAGGAAGGCAGATCACAGGCCACTTCCCTGCAGTGTGGAGGGATGGAGGGTCTTCAGAGTTATGAAGTGAGTGATAACATGGGCTTTGCTTTTAGTCAGGTGTGACATCAACTTCTGATCCACTGTCTATGTGCCACAGGACCTTGGGTAACTGACACAGCCTGAATAAGCTATGTATGTATGTATGTATCCATCCATCCGTTTGTCTGTCTGTCTGTCTGTCATTTGTCAGTGGGAAATGAAAGAGGAGAACTTTGGGAGATAACACACTTAAAGCACAGTACTGGGAACATTGTAAGTTCTAAATAAAAATCTATTCCTTTCCCCCCTTCTTACTCCTCTCCCTGTTTTCTCCATATTAAGGAAGCATGTGATCCAATATAGAAAAAGAAAACCACAGTCACTTTCCCAGTTCTCTCATCTCAGCCTATATATTTAATAACACCACACCTATACTTTAATTCTAATTGGTAGAGAAGGTTAATATAACCCGGGGTGTGGTTTAATTGGTAGATCCATTGCTTAGCACACACAGATCCCAGGGTTCAATATCCAGCGCCCCATAGAACCAGACATGGTGGCACATGCCTATAACCCTATTACTCAGGAGGTGGAGTCTGGAAGGTCAGAAATTCAAGGTCGTCCTTGACTACACAGTGAGTTTGAGAGCAGCTTGGGATGCATGAGAAAGAGAGAGGGAGGTAGAGAGAGAGAAATATTCCCCCCCACACTTTACCCTAGACTGTAATAGCAGCAGATGGTTGTTGTGCTATTCTGGGAATATTCAGTGTGTTAAAGAGCAGCAGAGTCTACTAGCTAGATTACTGTGTATGGTGCCATACTGTGGCCGTGCTAAGAGTATATATGGCCTATATTAAAGTTTATATTACAATATGTGGCAACCACAGTGTATTTCATGGCAGCTTCTAAATTGTTATATCATATGAATTGACAGTACATAACCCTTATTATGTATAACAATGACATAGGGCAAAATGCACCCTAACATGCTCACAACACTCCAAGTCCATCTCCCTTCCCCCTGCAGACGTCAGGTCTCCAGAGAATCCATGGGAAGGCCTTCCCAGCACCTGCAAGAGGCAGTGGGCTCCCCACTGCACCCTTTCAGAGCACCTTCCCTGGTCCTGGCCTGATTTGTAATCATGTATATATGTGACTTTGTCTGCCTTGTTCCTGTCAGGCCTGTCATCATGGCTGACACAGAATGGGCCCGTTAGCTCTATTTTCTGAATGAACAAATAAACAGTGGTGTGTAGTGATGTCGCTGCCACACACAGCTAAAGTCCCCAGAAGAGAGTAACTATGGCCAGATGCCGTCAGCTTCCATCCCTAACTGTTTAATCGCATTCTGTCATGACATGAATATGCTTCCGGTTTCACAGGATGAGTGGCTGTTAGAAGGTGACACTCTGGATTCTTGGGCACCATTTTGCCATCCTGGAGAGCCCAATGCTTTTAAAAGCACCTAAATATTGCGTTTGATTAGTACAATGGTTTAAGAAAGGAAAGACAGCTTTTATTATATCCGTTAGAGAAAATGGGAAACATTCTAAGAAGGTGAAGAGCCATGGGCAAGGCTCCGGGCTTACATCCCGGGTCTCTGGGCTCTAACTTTTACAAGTTTCCTCCCCTAGCCTGCAGGGCTTGTTGTCTTTAGACAACACAACTTTCACTCCAAGCCTCCATTTTCCTCCAGACTTCTTAGAGGAACTAAATGTAGGAAAAGGCAACTCGCCTCATCCAGTCAATGCTCTAGGGGGAAGCTCTGTCAGGAGAAGCATGGTTACACCATGGATGAACCTGGGGAATAGTGCCGCCAAGTGAAATAAACCAGCTCCAAGGAGACAAAAACTGTTGGGTTCTATTTACATGAGGGAGCTTCAAGTAGTCACTGAAATCACAAACAGGAAGCAGTATGATGGTTGTGGAGCTTTGGGAGGGCAGAAGAGCATCACTGTTTAGTGGGCGAACAGGCCTAGGTTTCAGGGATGGTGCCCATGGCAACACATTACCAATGTTTAATGCCATTGAGCCACACACTTATGACGGCTAATATGGTAAAATTTATGTTAT